GGCAGAAAGCTCCTCAAAAGGCTAACCACAATTAACCTACAACAAAGTCAAAGACATTTCGGATCTCAATCACCAGACATCACTGAGACAAAAAGGTGTCCCATTTCATTGAAGTATTCATCAATATCTGCCAGTTTGGAACTTTTTGACTAATCAGAAAATATTGAAACAGTCTGCAAGTTTTGTTCTCAGGAGATGCTGTATGAAAACACAATGGTGAACCAGCCTGAGAGTCAGATCCTGCAAATACTCAGCCGGATTTAGAACCAGTGTCTGCACCACACATTGATCGTAAACTGACAAATTTCATTAAATGACAGTTTATGAATGGAAATGCACAAAGGTTACAGTTGTGGTGTGTCTGCATTTCAGAAAACTAGATTAGATTTGTTTGTGCGAGAAGTGGTGGAATTGGCTGTATTTAGATTGTGTATGAACATGTGACAGTGATTGAAGGAGGTCCGAGTCTGTCTTCTCACGTTCATTATAAAATGTATGAATACATTTTGCCTGGTTCAGACTGATTGAAATTGTGTTGACACAGTTCTCCAAATTAAACATTAAACAATGGTGGCAATAAGATTCAGTTATTTCAAATGAAATGTAATATGTTGAGTGCGCTCGCTCACTCACTCACTCACTCACTCACTCACTCAAACCAGGATATAGCAATATCACATTTTTAATAACAGTATGTTCTGTTTGAAATGGGCACGGGTGACCCAGTCGTCTAAAGCGCTGTGCTTCGGTTATGCAAAGTTGCGTCCCTTGAACACCCTTGAACACCCTTGAACAGAACCTATGATTGTGGGTTCGAATCCTGATTCGCCCCGATTACCGTATTTTCTTGAGTATAGTGCGCACCCATGTATAATGCGCACCCCCCTCTAGCAGATTCAATATTTTGGAAAAAAAGAAATTTGAATATTATGAAAAAAATTACACCATACCCCCTTCAGCGAAGTCCGGCAAACGAACAGGTGATGAGAAACTTTGTCAGAACAAATTCGAAATTTGAGATAAAAAATCACTAGACATGTTGATTTACCGTTTTAATTGTATTTTTTGTTCTACTATGCATTGTTTTATATCCAGGGATTAAGATTACCTTGTGTATTTTCTCGTAAACTAAGCCGGACATAGCAATCAGCTGTACACACGTTTTCTTGGAATCTACCGGTGATTCGGCCAAGACACACCCAATGATATAACTTTACAGTATTTTAATGAAAGGATCGGCAAAAATTGTATCTGAAACAATTTTTTTATCAGGAATAATATATTCCAATACCTTGTTAATTTAGATGCAGCTTTTACTAAACATATTTAAAATAATAATAACCCTAAGCGAAGCAGCTGATCGCTATTGCAGGGTATTATCTTTTACATGGAACCAGTCTGACCATTCACCGTCAAGGCTCCCGTGCACGTGATCGCGTGATCGCGAGAATTACGTGTTGACATAGAATCGTCCAACAAAAACAAATATGACTTTTAACGATTCAAAGTACGGCATTTATGATATATGTATCCATTCTCTGTCAACTAAAGTTCGTTTCAAGGCGTCAATAGCGGTAATCTGACCGTGGTTGCTGTTAATAACGGTGAGTTTTGCGATCTTCCAATCGCTTCACACACGATTTCGCCGAAATTAATTAAAACAATATTAAAAGGAATTTTGAATAAAATTAATGAAATAAGCTACAAACATAAGTCCAGATATACAAAGAACACTTTTTATAGCCAGACAGTGTAATTACATGAATAATTTGCGTACTCCAGTATGGATTTGTTGACATGGTATTTCCAGTGTTACGTGCTCACGGTAATGTCTTTCCATGGGGGAAAAACATCAAAACTCATTAATTCGTGTATAATGCGCACCCCCTTCTACACAGCTGTGTTTTTTGGAAAAAAAGTGCGGACTATACTCAAGAAAATACAGTATGTTTCTCAGTGACTTAGCACTATAAATGGGCATCAGTCCGGTATAGTACAAGCAGCCTCACACACACACACACGCACGTGCATGCACGTCACTATATAAGGAGGCGACATTAAACCAAATTTCACCTCACCTATTACATTCCTGGCCTTAGTAGAGCTTTCCAAACCTATTATGGTAGACATGTGGAGGACATTTCCAAAGTTGATGCATCACCCACCAAATGATGTCCGATGCAGTTGACTTGTACCATATGTAACAGGTTCCCGTGGTTTTTCAGGTGAACAATTGACTTGCCTTTGCATGTATTTGTGAAGGGTGCCACCTGGTGGTACAGGATATGGTCACCTTCTTGAGAACACCTGGTACCATTCTTCACCAGATGCTCGTGTTATGGTCTGAATTGTGCAATGGATTCTGCTGCTAGCAGAGATTGCTTATGAATATGGATAGGGTGTTGTTGCTTATATTTACAAACCAAACCTCAAGATAAAAATTGTTCAAAATCACACAGGCCCTGCTAAAAAATATCATATGGACTGCAGTCACTGCACCCTGACTTAATATCCTAGCCCCATGCTCTCCTAGAACAAGGTAAATATCCTAGCCCATGCTCTCCTAAAACAAGGTAAATACCCTAGCCCCATGCTCTCCTAGAACAAGGTAAATATCCTAGCCCCATGCTCTCCTAAAACAAGGTAAATACCCTAGCCCCTTGCTCACCTAGAACAAACTAAATATCCTAGCCCCATGCTCTCCTAGAACAAACTAAATATCCTAGCCCCATGCTCTCCCAGAACAATATAAATACCCTAGCCCCATGCTCTCCTAGAAAAATACTATAGTCCCATGCTCTCCTAGAAAAATACTATAGTCCCATGCTCTCCTAGAAAAATACTATAGTCCCATGCTATCACAGAACAAACTAAATACACCCTAGCCCCATGCTCTCCTAGAACAAACTAAATACCCTAGCCCCATGCTCTCCTAGAACAAACTAAATACCCTAGCCCCATGCTCACCAAGAACAAACTAAATACCCTAGCCCCATGCTCTCCTAGAACAAACTAAATACCCTAGCCCCATGCTCTCTAGAACAAACTAAATACCCTAGCCCCATGCTCTCCTAGAACAAACTAAATACCTTAGCCCCATGCTCTCCTAGAACAAACTAAATACCCTAGCCCCATGCTCTCCTAGAACAAACTAAATACCCTAGCCCCATGCTCTCTAGAACAAACTAAATACCCTAGCCCAATGCTCTCCTAGAACAAACTAAATACACCCTAGCCCCATGCTCTCCTAGAACAAACTAAATACCCTAGCCCCATGCTCTCCAAGAACAAACTAAATACCCTAGCCCCATGCTCTCCTAGAACAAACTAAATACCCTAGCCCCATGCTCTCCTAGAACAAACTAAATACCCTAGCCCCATGCTCTCTAGAACAAACTAAATACCCTAGCCCAATGCTCTCCTAGAACAAACTAAATACACCCTAGCCCCATGCTCTCCTAGAACAAACTAAATACCCTAGCCCCATGCTCTCCAAGAACAAACTAAATACCCTAGCCCCATGCTCTCCTAGAACAAACTAAATACCCTAGCCCCATGCTCTCTAGAACAAACTAAATACCCTAGCCCAATGCTCTCCTAGAACAAACTAAATACACCCTAGCCCTATGCTCTCCTAGAACAAACTAAATACCCTAGCCCCATGCTCTCCAAGAACAAACTAAATACCCTAGCCCCATGCTCTCCTAGAACAAACTAAATACCCTAGCCCCATGCTCTCTAGAACAAACTAAATACCCCCTAGCCCCATGCTCTCTAGAACAAACTAAATACCCTAGCCCCATGCTCTCCTAGAACAAACTAAATACCCTAGCCCCGTGCTCTCCTGATCAATGAAGCAGGATGAACTATTTACTCAAGTGCAGCAGTTGATGCGACAGTTTTACAAAAATAACAACACAGACATCAAGTAGGTGGACACTTAGTACAAGTGCATTGTTTTGATTGATTTCTTCATAGTATGGGTTTCATGATCAAATAACAATGAAATAATGCCACACGACGTTTAGTGAATAGATTAGGGCTGTGTGAGCAAAAGATAATAGACACTACAGGGGGACAGGAAGTGTTGGGCTGTAGTGAAAGAAATAGTGCATCCAGCAGAGCAATTACTCAAATTGAAATAAATGTTTTCCAATAAGTCCTGCTTGTCTGTGGCCAGCGTCCTAGTGGGAATAGTATGCAAGCTCGCTTCTTTTGGATTTATGGTCGTCTCATAGAAGACTTTTTATCGCTTTTTTGTGACTTTGAATGTTTAAAAGGTTTTTTAGTTAACATGTTTAGTACTGCGTGTTGTGTGTAAATAGGAATTTGGGAAGTAAAGCAGAAATTGTTTCTGAGTTATTTTGTTACGATAGTTCTTTGACAGATGCCTGGGCATAATGGCTGTCTGTGAATCGTTTTGTTTTTCATTATTGGTGTAGAAATATTGTTCACTGAAGAGGTGGGATATGTATTAAGCATCAGTTTTTGTCGAGTAGTGGCTTTTTGCTCCTTCATGAACTGGAGTTCTCCCTGTTATATTTACTTGTTTTGTTCATTTACTTGTTTATTCATTCATTGTTTAATGCCACACTCAGCAATATTCCAGCTGTATGACAGCGGTCCCTTAATAATCGAGTTTGGACCAGACAATCCAGTGATTGACATTATGAGCATCCATGAACACAATTGTATCTGGGATATGATGACATGCATCAACCAAGTCAGCGAGCCTGACCACCTGGTCCCAACCACCTGTACTGCAATACTTTGTCAGTGGGTACTACAGTATGTTCAACCATATTTGCTAACGTCAGGTTGATAACAATCAACATTGCTGTTGAAAATATATTTTGCACTTTGGAAACAACATCAATGTGTCGGACAATGTTACCTTTCAGCAAGAATCTTCAAGAACCTTCATGATAACGAAACAGGTCTACAAGAAAATAAACGCCTTAAATTAATGACTGTAATTCTCACACATTTCTCTCTTCCAGAACCCTCCACCAACAATGGCCAAGAAGAAGTCGCAGCCACAGCCTGTGGCCAAGACAAAAGACTGTTTCCATGAAGTGTTTGGCTTTTCACTGGCAGACCTGTCTTCCCCGTCTGCTGTAGTCCGTCTGCTGTGTCGCCCATCTGATCCAGCCTGTCTCGGGGTTACTCGCTTCCTGTTTGGTAAGTATTGACAAGGATCCTGATGGATGTAATTAGATTGAGGACAATAATCTGAACAAAGACCAAACCCAGAGAGCCCATCGGGAACTGTCAAATTGGACGGTATGTGTGTAGTTAACACTGCAATGACTTGGCATATGGCTGATCCATTGAAATAAGGTTGTTAGACATGTAAGATGGGATTTGTGGGTATCGGGAAGCAGGTAAGCTGATTTCTCGCTTCACGGAAATAAAAAGGTCTTCAAGACAAATATGGTTGTGTGCTGAAATGCCCTTTACTTAGACCAGTGGGAGCAGTTGTCCAAGTTAAATGTCAAAGTCAGGGTTTGATTTCTCACAAGGACACATTGTGTGAATGTGGTAACAGGGTCCCTCCTGAACCCACCGGGTTGTGAACTCCATATTATTTCTGAACGAATAATACTTACACGCCATGTTATAACTGGAATACTGTTAAAAGCAGCGTTAAACCCAACTCACTCACTCACTGACTATTCAAGGCCTTGAGGGATGCATGAAGCTTTTTCTGGTAGTTCTTACGACCACTGCTCAATTGGAGTTGTTTTTTTAACTTCCTTGCTATTTAAGTAACTTTAGTGATCAGTGTTGGAGAGGGGTTGTGAAATATGGGCACACAAGCTAAGCAATCACCTCAGATCTCTTACTGTTTTTGCCGTCTGGATTTGAACGTAAATATGATTGATCTTGCCAGTAGGCAACATTGAATGAATGTGTCGTCTTTAAGAACTAAATGAATGGGTCTTCAGAATCTTCTTTGTTGGAGGGCTATATATGTGCCTATGTAGGTCACAGTAATTATGAAATTTATTAACAGCGAGGATAAATAACAGATTTCTCTTACATTACGAGAATGTTGAGTAAGATATAATCCAGGGTGAATGTGTCCCAAGAATTTTCCAATAATAAATACATATAACATCATCCAGTCAGGCTACACCCAGGACCCAACATCAGAAGTTTCACATGCTCTGGCACAAACAGTTTGAAAATCAATATCAACTTTTATATTCCAGATGTACAAAAAACTTTTCAATTTGGATCAGAATTTGATCAGTTCATCTGATTTATCTGCGTCCTGTTTCTTCCAACGTGTTTATCAGCTGATGTCCCGAAGTCTTGAAATAGACGTGTGTCTCTCAACAATAGCCTTGTATGGGCAGTCAAGCAACATCTTTCATCACAAGCTTCGCCGATTTAATCTCATGTCCAACATATTCAGATTTTGCAGTGGATAAGGTTGATGGTTTTTGTCCATGCAGCCACATTCTAGTTACCATGCCGATTTGATGCAATGCATGGCAAGAACTGTATTCAGTGTGGGTTGTGATCACCCTTATCACAAGTAGAGCAAATATTCCCCTGATTACATACTATCAATGCAAGATGCAGATGAATACTACTGGGGCAGACAACATCAGCAGGATTCTGTCTTCGATACATGGTATTAGATGAAATATTAATCTTCTTTTGATGTTACCCTGTTGACCATTATCCAAGCCTTTCAGCTCACTTGTACCCAATTCATCTTCAAAGTACATATTGACTGTAATAAGGCTCATTATAAATCATTGGAAGTTATGTTGTGATTTTCTTAATGACCTTCAATGCTGACTCAACTTTGCATGATGTCCTTGCTGTGTTTTGATAGGGGACTGCTGTAGTTATCTGAAAGTTTTCCTGTTGACCTTCACAGAGCTCAACATTGCTTATTTTAATATGGACATACCAAACTTCCTCTATTAGACGCCCAGGCATCTATTAATTTCATGCAAGCTGTTGACCCGGCGTCTATTCAGTTTAATGCTGTTCAAAGTGGGCACTCATCCTATAAAATTCAAAATTCTGCAGATACAAAGGGTACATTTGCAGAAAATTATCATTATTAATTTCCAACATGTGCCAGTATTAGAGACCCAGCATTGTTTTTTTGACAGAATGTATGACCCAGCATCTAATATTTGTTTGTTTGTTTGTTTGTTTGTTTGTTTGTTTGTTTGTTTGTTGTTTAACGTCGCACTCAGCAATATTCCAGCTATATGACGGCAGTCTGTAAATAATCGAGTCAGGACCAGACAATGCAGTGATTGACATCATGCGCATCGATCCAATTGGGATTGGTATCCTGCATCAACTAAGTCAGTGAGCCTGACCACACGATCCCGTTAGTCGCCTTTTACGACAAGCATAGTCGCCTTTTACGGCAAGCATGGGTTGCTGAAGACCTATTCTACCCCGGATCTTCAGGGGTCAGCATCTAATAAAGGAAATACGGTAGTCTTAGGCATTATTGTCTGTCTTCTGTATGTGATTGAAGGAAGCAGTGGGATGCAGGTTGAAATAGATTCCACTGTATTGCAATAGGTGACTAGAACTGGATTGGGGGATAGGCTTGGTGATTTGGATAATTGAGTGTCATCATATCAGAACAGCATGGGACTCTGTATCCACCACTGGTGTGTGCCTCGGACTTGATGATTTACCAACCATTATCATATACCTGAACTGTTGCTGACTGCAGCGCCGCACTGCAAACAAACAACACATCCAGATACTCACTGCTCAAGAGCACTGCTCTTTTGAAGAAGATGGCCTTCTAATAAGAGGGAACCATTTTCAGAGAATTCTCTTTAAAGGAATCTAGGAACAGTCACAGCAAATGAGTCCATGAGTTTGGTTTTACAACGCTTTTGGCAATATTCCTGTAATATCATGGTAGGGGACACCAAAAATTGGCTTCACATATTGTATCCTTGTGATCTTGTGATGAATCGAACTGGGACTTCAGTGTGATTAGCGAACACTTTAACCACCAGGATTAGTAAACCATCCCCATCTTGGTTAATCCAGGGCGGTAGTGTAGCCTAGTGGTTAAAGCATTCACTCGTCAAACTGAAGACCCAGGTTTGATTCCCCAAACGGGTACAATGTGTGAAGCCCATTTCTGGTGTCCCCGCTGTGATATTGCTGGAATATTGCTTTAAAAAAGCGGCGTAAAACTATACTGACTCACTCACTCTTGGTTAATCCTCTTTAACAACCATCTATTTTTCATGTTATAAAAAATGTTCCATATGTAGATTGTTGGTTATGGAAGAATGAGAATCTGGGAATGAGAATGGTGTTGGTAAAGCTTTGAAAAATGTTTTATGGTAGACACGTGGAGAACATTTCCAAATTTGACGCATCAGTGACAAAAATTATGTCCAATGCAGCCTATTTTTACTTGTACGCTATGTTCCTGGGTTTTTTTAGGTGAAAAATTGACTTGCCTTTGGATGTGTTTGTGACAGGACCGCCAGGTGGGACAGAATTTGTTACCTTTTTCACAAACACTTGGTGTCGTCACTATTTTATAGTGATACATACAGTTAGAATTGTGCAATGGTCTCTGCTATCATCAGAGATTTCTTAGGATTGTGGAATGAATTTTGTCACTTTTTATCCCCCGCCGCGCGAAAGCGCGAAGCGGGGGATATAGTATTCACGACCGTCCGTACGTACGTCCGTACGTCCGTCCATACGTCCCACCTGTTTGTTGCCGCGATATCTCAAGAACTAAACACTGGATTGTCTTCATATTTGGAACTATGGTGTATAAACAGACACCGCAGACACCAGTCGGTTTTGGTGACCTTGATCCCATTTTCAAGGTCACAGCAGACAAATCTGCTTTTAGAGTTGGAAAACGGTGTTGCCGCGATATCTCAAGAACTAAACACGGGATTGTCTTCATATTTGGAACTATGGTGTATATACAGACACCGCAGACACCAGTCGGTTTTGGTGACCTTGACCCCATTTTCAAGGTCACAGCAGGCAAATCTGCTTTTGGAGTTGGAAAACGGTGTTGCCGCGATATCTCAAGAACTAAACACGGGATTGTCTTCATATTTGGAACTATGGTGTATATACAGACACCGCAGACACCAGTCGGTTTTGGTGACCTTGACCCCATTTTCAAGGTCACAGCAGGCAAATCTGCTTTTGGAGTTAGAAAACGGTGTTGCCGCGATATCTCAAGAACTAAACACTGGATTGTCTTCATATTTGGAACTATGGTGTATATACAGACTCCGAAGACACCAGTCGGTTTTGGTGACCTTGATCCCATTTTCAAGGTCACAGCAGGCAAATCTGCTTTTAGAGTTGGAAAACGGTGTTTCCGCGATATCTCAAGAACTAAACACTGGATTGTCTTCATATTTGGAACTATGGTGTAAATACAGACACCGCAGACACCAGTCGGTTTTGGTGACCTTGACCCCATTTTCAAGGTCACAGCAGGCAAATCTGTTTTTGGAGTTGGAAAACGGTGTTGCCACAATATCTCAAGAACTAATCGCTGGATTGTCTTCATATTTGGTACTATGGTGTATATACAGGCGGGGGATATTTCGTCACTCTGTGACAAATACTTGTATTTAACTGTTTTCTGTAGGACACAACAAAGCCTCTACATTCAGTGGTATGGTCTCTGTAGATTACATATAAGTACCTTATTTAGGCTGTTTTCCAGATTTGAAGAATGCAAGCAAAACTGTTGCAGTGAGTGTTTTGAGATAGAGTAGGCAGTATAGGTCTGACAATTGCACTTGAAACGTCTAGGAATGCACAGTTTATTATTGTTTTTATGACAATATAAAACCCTATGGTACAACACTGAATCAACTTAAGAGAAATGATAGGTCGTCTCTCAAAACTTTTTATTTCTTTTAACATCATACTGTCATGAGTTGAACTGTTATATTTTGAAAAGTTGGACAAAGAATATGTATGATTCATCTGAAACTGGGAATATGGCAGATATTCAATGACTTTTGTGGCATCCTTAGAAACAGTGAAGACAGTGTTGAATTATTCGAATTTAGCTTCTTTATGTGTTACTGTGACAGTTGGTGCAGTTTTTGTTTGTTTGTTTGTTGTTTAACGCCGGACTCAGCAATATTCCAGCTATATGACAGCGGTCTGTGAATAATAAA